CTTATTCAATGCCTTTATAACAACATATGTTTCTTATCTTATAATTCTGGAGGTTAGAAGTCTGAAATGGTCTTACTGGACTAAAATCAAGGTGTTGGCTGAGTTTCTTCTGGAGGTTCTAGAGGGTAATCTGTTGCTTTGCCTTTTTTAGTTTCTAGAGGCTGCCTGAACTCCTTGGCTCATGGTCGCTTTTGCTATTTTCAAGGTCAGCAGTGTAGCATCCTCAAATCTCTGATTCTGACTCATCAGTCTCCCACATCCACTTATTATTATTATTATTTTTTTAAGTAAGCTCTACCCCCAACGTGGGGCTCAAACTCATGACACCAAGATCGAGAGTTGCATGCTCTACTGACTAAGCCAGCCAGGCGCCCCCTCCCTCATTCACTTATAAAGACCTTTGTAATGATACTGAATAATCCAGAATAATTTCCCCATCTCTGTGTCAGAGGATTGGCAACCTTATTTCCATATGTAGCCTTAATTCCTTCTTCCATATGACATAACATACTCACAGATTCCAGAGATTAGGAGAGGGGCCTCTTTGGGGAACCATTATTCTGCTTACCACAAGGAGCTATGTTTACAAAGTAAAGGAGGGGGCAAAAAGCTGAGTCTGACTTTCTGTGGTCCTTTCCCCATCAAAGCAATAGTTGATTCAGCGGCCAGCTGGCTACAAAACCTTTATTAAAATGATAGTTAAGAGCCCAGAAACCTGAACAGAGCTGTGGGGGGACAAAAATTGGTGTTCATGGCCTGCCTAAGAGTACTGACCCTGGTTAACACTACAGATGTCAATGTAGGACCATGGAAATAGACAGGCTAAAATACGGATTTAAATACAATCATTTCCAGACGTGATAGAAGTGCTTGACCCCTATTCTAACTGCTTGACAGAAGCAAAGTAAAATCTCTTTGAACGAAAGCATCATCAGCAAATAACTCAAACTATCTCTGTAAGTTTACCTTCATAATGTCTGACATTCCATTGAAAACTTGTAGACATATCAAAGGATCAAGTTACCATAAAAAAACACAACAGAATCAGGCTGATGGGTGAGGCAAATCTAAGAGTTATCAGTGATGTCAAATAAATCAGGCATCAAAATAAATGTGATGAATGTGTTTGAGAAAACAGGCGACAAGATGAGGAATAGATAATAATCTGAGAGTTGAGATTTATAAAAAAAGATTGAAACTGAAATTCCAGAACTATAAAAAAATAATTACTGCAATTAAAAAATAAATGGGCTAAACAACATATACGGAATAGTAGTAGGGAAGAATAGAAAATTAGAAGAGAAAATAGAAAATATCAAAACTGAAGAATGGAAAGTAGAAAGAACAGAAATAAAGCTATACAGGATGAAATGAAAAAGTCTAACATTTGCATAATTAGGTCCTAGACCGAGAGGAAAGAGAGAACAGAGCATAAGCAGTATTTGAAAGGATAATGATTGAGAATCTTCCAAAAATGACAAAAGACATCAAGTCTTAGTTTCAAAAAGCTTAAGAAACCCAAGCATAATATGCATATGTATTTAAAATCACAGCTACGTACACACAGTCAAATCTTTTGAAAACCCAAAACTGAGAAAATCTTAAAAGTAGTCAGGTGGAGGGGGGCGCCTGGGTGGCTCAATCATTCAGCGTCTGCCTTGGGCTCAGGTCATGATCCCAGGGTCCTGGGGTTGGGCTCCCTGCTCCGCGGGAAGCCTCCTTCTCCCTCTCCCACTCCCCCTGCTTGTGTTCCTTCTCTCACTGTGTCTCTCTCTGTCAAATAAATAAATAAAATCTTAAAAAAAAAAAAAAGTAGTCAGGTGGGGGAAGAAATCACCTCCAAAGCAACAGCAGTAAAACGGACAGCTGGCCTCTGATCAGAAGTGATGCAAGTCAGGGGACAACAGAATAGTATCTTTTATGTGCTGAAAGACAGTAACTGCCTAGCTAAACTTCAGTTCCATGAAAAAGGTACTTCTCAACTAAAGGCAACACAAAGACATTTTCAGACGAACAAAAACAAACTGTTGCCAACACAACTTTACTAAAATAAATAATGGATTTTTTTTAAGCAAAAAATAATAATAATTCCAGTCAGAAGCATGGAAATGGGAAAGCGGCTGAAGGGGTACGAATGGGTCAATTTGTGGGTAAGTCACAGTGACATGGGTAAGTCATGGCTGTGTAACATGATGCAGGTAACGTTTTGTGGTGTTTGAACTGTGTGCAGAATTTTTTGTTTTGTTTTTAATGATAACACAAAACCAGGAGAGTTGGTAAGGAAGATCTAAGGTTCTTGCATTTATTTGGAAAGTGGTAAAATTCTAATTTATATTAGGATTAAGTAAGTCCAGAATTTATATTTTACCCTTAAGTATAATCATTAAACAAGATTAGATGATGTATAGCATAACAAGCTTCTAGAGGGGAAAAAACCCAAAAATGATATAAAACATTTGAGTAATATAAAAGGATGCAATAAAGAAAAGAGAAATACAAATAAGTAAGATGAGTAGGAAACAAACAGTAAAGCAGTAGATTTAAACATAATATATCAGTAATTACACTAAATGTAAATGGACTATTCCATTTAAAAAAATATTGTCAGGCTCTATTAAAGAAATATAAAACCCAATTATATGCTACTTAAAAGAGATACATCTTAAATATAAGGATACAGAAAGATTGAAAACAAAGAGCTGAAAAAGATGTCTCATGTAAACATTAATCAAAAGGAAGTTGGCATTGTTATACTACTATCAACAAAACAGACTTTAGGGCAAGAAACATTACTAGACTTAAAAAGGGACACTTTATAAGAATAATGTTGATTTAATTTACCAGGAAAGTATAACAATTCTATGGCTGTATGCACTTAATGACAAAATAAATAAAGTAAAAATGTATGTAAAAGGAGAATAGGAAAATCATATTAATTATATATATAATATTCATATTATATTATATTGTAGCACATATTACATATAGTATCATTTATATATTAGAATACTGTACAGTGATGAAAATGAAGTAACAACTGCTACATTCAAGAGAGTAAATAAATCTCATGAACATAAAGTCAAGCAAAAATGTCCCGAAGAGTACATACAAAATGTGTCCATTTATAAAAATTCAAAACTAGCAAAGGTAACCTTGGATATTAGAACTCAGGATAGTGGTTACCTTGGGAAGAAGGGGGAATAGTGACTACGGTGGGGACATTAGTTCTATTCTATTTCTTTATTTAGGTGATGGTTACATGGGTATCTTTGCTCGGTGAAAATTCATTTACTTGTAATTTGTGATTTGTGAATTTTTCTATATTATATTATAACTCAACAAATAAGTTTATTTTTAGAAAGGAATGAAGCAGAATCAATCTTATATAACTGTTAAAATTATGTAAAATTTATGTAACATTGTGCACATAGGAATTAATTAAAATTAATTAATCCGACAATTTCAGATGTCAAAATGTTGACTTTTTCTTTTCTCTTAAAAAAAAATATTTAAATTACTATATATATATATAACTTGTGTTATTTAAAAACAGAAAATAAATACCAAAAATGAAGTCCAGAATATCTTCTGCAAATGGAGAGCCTCCACTTGTCCAGGGATTCCAATCTTTTGGAATCAATCTCAGAGTTAATCAATTATTGTGATTTCTCAAGTCAATACCCAACCCAAAACTGCCCATGCTCCAGTATACAGAAGACCCAGGGCAGACACTGCGCTCACCGTCTCCTCTCCAGATCTCTCTGCAGGTCAACAGACACCCCTCTCTCCGTCCTTCCCCAGCCTCATTTTCAGACCTCACATGCGTCCTGCCAGAACTGTTTCTGCTCTGACTCATTTACTTTGCTGTGGCACTGTTTTTTAATTCTTTGGTATAATTTATCTCAATTTAGAAACTATAATGTTTTAAGTTTTCCAACATAGAGTTTCCTTTTCCTTGAGCCCAGAACTATGTCTCTCAGCTGTTTCCTTTGTTCAAGGTTATTAATGTTGCACAATATTTAAATTTCGTATATGTTATTAAATGGTTAGAATGATGGGTGGGGGTGGGGGGGACGGAAGGGTACCTTCATACATTAGACTACCCATAATTTCTGCTTGATCTATCATTTCTTCTAACATAAGTGAGTAATGCAGATCACAACTCAGTGACCCTTATGAAATTTGTTGTGAACTCTCATTTACTTTTCCAAAGCAAAGTACTTTCAAGGTAGTATGCCTCTGAGATTAATTTTTATTTGGAGCATGGATTTGCCTAATGAAAAGCTCGAGCATTGGAAAGCTGTAATTCCAAATACTCAAAACTACAGAACTAAGGTCCCAATGTTGCCTCCAATAAAAAAATTGCAGGAAAAAAAAAAATTCAGGTCCAGAAGACTTAAATTTCTCCTCTTGACTAACTAAGCAAAAGCATTCTCAATTTCTCCAAGAACTTTCTGGAGGTAAACAGTGTAATCATGTAATCACCAACAAAGCCTTCCTGACCCTTGAGGAGCTGAGACCTGCAGATTGGAAGCACAGTGGACAGGCTTGGCCAGGAGCAACGTCTGACCCCTGAAGTGGAGGTCACACTAGAGGCATCAGATGGACAGATTTTGTCCTGGGGCTTCATGTGTGAGCCCCAAATGTGAGCACAGATTTGCCAGGAGAGATTACACTGAATCTAACTCATGTCATTTGTTCAAGCTCCCCTTTGTCCCCAAATAGACTAACCTTCTCATTAATGATTTGCCTTTTTGGGCTGAGTATTACCTTTTTGAGTGTCACCTTATCTCCTGAACAATATCTAAACTTTTGACTTGTTTCACATGAAGCACTATGTACTTTAATGAACTCAGACACTCTGCTCTGTGGAAAGTAGGGCCACAGAAGACACACTTTGACCCGGCGTAGGCCAGTCATGACTTACTGGTGTTCAGCCTTTCGTTTCAATCCCACCATCCCCTTCCCCACAACCTACAGGTCCCAAAGTGTCTCCATACCTGATAGAAGTCATCCACCTGCCGCACATAACCAGCCACTTCGTTATCGGATTTAAAGACCTTCCAAACTTTTCTTTCTGCCTGCTTGTATTTCTGGGACCCCTTCCACTTCATGGCCATCAGAGAGCGCTCAGTCAGGGAAGCTGCCACAATGATGTCCAGTTGGCCATTGTAGATCAGAACCTGAAACAAAACTGAGCTGTGGGCAAATGCGGGATTCAGCAGGTAAAGTCGGGTAATCTATCTAGGTATAGATAGTGTGTGCACGAGAGAAAAGGTAATGGGAAGTTTTCTGATACTGTGCTCAAGGGAGGCCAGCCCAGCAGGTAAGTGGGGTCATTTTCTTCTAGTTGGCCACACACACCAACAACCTGAAATCAACACAAGCCTTGGCTCAGCCATTGCAATTCTTCCAGAAGTTCGAACCTTCATAGGAATCTGCATAAAGCCTTCTCTCAGTTACAAAAGCATTTGTGTTGTATTATCCAGTGATAACTCTTCGATGTACAGCTATGTTCAAGAAGAGGACTGTGGTTACATTTTACTGGAACGAGGAACACTACACCATTGGATTTGTGTGAAGACTGCATTTCATTAACTCAGCTTTCAGGCTGGTGAGCTGAGCATTCTCTCAGGAGCTGCTAATCCATACTGCTCTCCCCTCCAACACTGATTTTTACAGTGGCATCTATAATTTTATGAGGCAGATGGATAGAAGCAGGTGCCTCAGATTTGTTTCTTGTTGGAGGCAACTCTGTTTGCCATGCCACTTACAAGGACTCCTTTTCTTAGATGTGATAGCCACTTGTCAACAATGAGGAATGTCTCTTCTTCCTAGAGTACAATTTTTATTTTTTTTGCTAAGATGGTGGATATTAGAGGAGAAACAACTCCGAAGCAACTCCTGTCTTTTCTCCAAAAACAATAAAACAATATTCAACTGGCTTGGGAAAGAATTCAGATAATACCCAGTGCTGATGAAGTGTAAAACAGTGCTACTCTTCAGGAAAGCAATGATCCGTTTTTAACAAAAAGATTTGAAAATGCTGAGACTCTCTGTCCCAATAACCCCAGTTTGTGGAATGAATTCTATGAAAATAAGCCCCCCAAATATATATATATATAAATATATATATATAATCATATTCATTGGGTGTTATAATGAAAAACTGAAACACAGTCTAAAAGTTCCATAATTAGTGAAGGGGTTAAATAAACTGTGGTACAGAAATTCTATGGGATAGTGCAAAACCATTTAAAATGTTCCACTGAACCACGTAGCAATGTGGAAAATACTTCTCACATACTGTTAAGTATGAAAGCTGAAAGTCAAATATATATCACAATCATGAGTGTAGAAAGTAGGCATACATGTTTACATATATGGAATACAACTTTAAAAAACATGAAAACAGTTGGTTAACTTAGGTGGTACAAATCTGAATAATATTCTCCTTTGTTTTCCACTCTTTTTAGGTTATTTTTATGCAACTAACACGATATTAATTCTCGTAAGGCATCGTCACTCAACCCCCAACAAAGAGGTTTTCCTCAACTCCATGCTACCTTTGATCTACTTGGAAGTTCTGGTTTCGCTCAAGTGAAGACCTTTGGTTGAATCCTCAAATTGGATATAAAATGTTTCACTACATATGTTTCCATCTCTGCCTTCCTGGTGTAGGCTTCTTAAAAGGCTTGCACATAATTAAACAAGCCCAGGACTTTTACACACTCCAAATCCTCAAGCAGCAGTGGGCCAGGATTCAGCCTAAGATGAAAGAGCCCTGGGCCTCTGCGACCGGAGCCTGGGATCTTTTATGTTACCCCATCACCATCACCACCTCCGCTCTCCTAAGCAGAAACCCAAAGGGAAAACTCCTGATCGATTTAAAGCCTCTTTAAAAAACTCAATTCAACTCTAGCAATAAAAATTTGCATTGTTTATACAAAGAAATTGCCTCAAAGACCTTGGGTACTTATGGCCCATGCAAAACTCCTACAGCTGTTTTGCCAACAGTATGGAAACAATTACCCATGATCTGTACCAGTGAACAAGGCTTAAATCGTCCACCAATTGAGGAAGGCCTGATTAACAAAGATAATCATCTATAAAGTAATTCTTCTTATAGAATTCCATGAAAAGATGCTGATTAACTAGCAAATATGAAAGTACATCTGGTTGTTTTCCACTCTGTGGCCACTAAATGAAGCTCACATCTTTCTGAGTGTCTCTTGTAGCTACCTTACTATCATCAGTATATTTTGAAATTGATTTGAATTTTTTATCTTTCAGGGATGCAAATCCACAGGGTAAGGCAAAAACAGCCTTATTTGTACAGTAGTAGAGTACATGTTCGTTGGACTGAATTGAAATGAAGTCCATCCCTGAGCTGTGCCCCTTGTTATTCAAGACTCATCACAAACAAGAGCACTAACTCTCTGGAACGAGGCAGTGAAGGGCTGAACTGCATAATTTTGTGCATGTGATGTGTAGAAGGCCTACTTCTGGCTGCAAATGGAAATCTTCTTAAAGCAAGGAACACATTTTTAACTTCTAAAGGGCACGTAAGTCAGATGCAAAAAAAAAGAAAGAAAGAAAGAAAAGAAATCAGATTAATGATCAAGCGAGGTGATTTCAAAGCTGGCATTTAAGGCTGCCAGCATTAAATATAAGAATTCCAGAGCTTTTATTTTTATCTAAATGTCACATTTACTCTCATCAGCCCTGACAGGAATATCTCAGTTGCCTTTAGGGCTGGGTGAGTGGGAAGAGAGATCCCAGGATCCAGTGACAGTGAGCCGAGGAGTCAGGAGGGTGGAGCTTAGGGGTGGGTGGTCCCGAATCCAGGTCCTGGTAGTCAGAGAGGTTCCAGGACAAAGCCTAAGCCCTGAGGAGCTGGCCAGTTACGAAGGATCTGCATATATTTCCTCCACTTCTTCCTGGTGGGGTGACCAGCTGCCCCAGTCAGCCTGGCCTGAGGAGTTTCCCAGGAGGCAGGGCTTTCAGGCTAACCCTGGGACAGTCTGGGGCAAACCTCTCCCTGAGGCTTGCTGGTATTTTAGGCAACAAGATCTAAAGACAGAGAGGAGGAGACAGAAATGAATGCAGCTTTCAGCTACCCTTGTCTTCTCAGTAAGGATTTAACAAAACAAGGCAGAAGGGAAAGACTGGTTGGATGGAGGTGGTTTGTAGTGACAACACCAGGCAGCCCCCCGAAACCCCCAGTTTCCTCACTTTCCTTCCTGGACAGCTGTGAAGCCTCAATTAAACAGCAAAGGCACTCCCTTTAGGGATTTTTTTTTTCCTTTTACTACTTGGAGGTCTGACTGGTTAGCTTGGTGAAATTGATGGTTTTGTGAAGACATGGAAAAATAACATTAAAAAATCAATGAAGACCATGATTCCACTGTTTGTACTCTATAACATTTTCAAAAAAATGCTTCAAACTTGGGAAAAGAATACATCAAAATACTAACAGTTAAGGTAGCTAAAATATGGATGATTTGTTTTGACTTGACTGTTTTCTAGGGGTTTTTTGGGGAGAGGTAAATGTAATTAGGATATTTTTATAATGAGAAAATAGTAAAATAATAACACTAAGAGGTTGGGAACCTTGGTTGGCAAAAGGTGGGTCTTTACTGAGGAATAATTTGTATTAACTCAAATATTACCAGCTGTCGATTTTCATGACAACTAGGTAAAAATAGCCTAACTAGTTTGTTTGTAGATGATCTTAAAAGCCCATTCCAGAATTCAAGCATTTATTAGAAATGGTAGGAGGTGACTGGATTACAAGCATTGTTTGTTTGTTTGGTCAAAAGGCAGAGGTGAGAAAAGCATTTTTGTTATTTACCTTCCCAAGTGCTTTCTTGTACATATGGCTTTATTCTCGGACTGCTTCACGAGGTCAGGACGAGAGGAATTACAACGTCTGCCTCTACTTAACGGTTAAGGAAATTGGGACTCAGCGAGGTGCCAGAATGTTTCTGAGATCCCAGACTTCCAAACTCCTACCTAGAACTCCTTAAGAAAAAGAGCTAAATTCCTTCAAACCAACAGACATTTCCTGACGCCCCACAGCTAAATGTTTAGTGCTACCAAAAGCCTCCGGGAACGGAGGGTTGGTTGAGTAGGAGACACAGTTCACATCTCTGGTTCAGAAACAACCTCGGTCTGTTCGTCCAACTCTGGTGACATCTCTCAGTCATTTCTCACTGTGGCTCTCTGGACAAGGATGTGTACAAGACCGTTATTCAGCTGGTGACAGATGCCTCACTTCTGTGGTAGGGAGTGCCCCTGATGAAGCAGCTGTAGTATATACAGCATTGGCTCCCCGAGGACCGGGCTCTCCTAGCGCTTGTTCTGCCTGCAGCCTTGCGCAGGGCCTGGCCTCCCGTGAATGGTATTGACACTTACTGGGTAAAATCAGTTGCACTTTCTAAAAGTTTTCTGTAATGCTATATGTTGATCATCGATTGCTTTGGCCTGCCTAGGTCCACTCTCCCTTCCCCTGATAACAGGACTCCCACACCCTCAATGGATCCAGCCTTAGTGGAGGCTGTCAATCGCAATATCCTGCCTCCTCCGTGCACGGGATGAGCATCTGTCCTAAGCTAGGGCACTCAAATGCTCTTTTCATAAAATCTGAACTGTGGGCAGAGGGACATAGGGTTCCCTGATGATTCTGCCCATTAGCTTTCCTACCTGGATCCCCAGAATTTTTCTTGGTCCCAATCTTTCCTCACTCCGGGTCTTCAATCTTTCTGTGAATTCTGTGACCTATCACGTCTTCTGATCAATTCCTTTTATGCTTTGAGTAAGCCCAGTTGTTTCTGTTGCTGAAAGCATGAAATCCAAACTCCTATACCAGTGAATGGACCTGTTGTCACCCAGGACCCAGCATGCAGTAACTGGGAACCCCTGGACATGTGGCTTAGCCTCCACGGGCTGTGTTCCCTTTTCTGGACATGAAGATGGGAAGACCTACATCTCATTGTAGTGAGAGTAAATGAGATACTGTGCACAGAGTTGCTAGCATGGTGCCTGAAGCAAATTAGGAGTTTGGTGCGTGTTAGATCCTCCTCCTTCTCAAGTAGGTTGATGACTGGAAAATGACTTGGAAGACTCAATAAAGCCCTTCTTCTAAAATAAGCCTTCAGAATATGCAGATGGTACTTTCGTG